ATGTCAATCTAATTCTACTTTTAAAATTCATTTTTATTGTTACGTGTAATTTGAGTTTCTAAAATTTTGATCTTTTACCACATCGAGTTGATCACCTTTGATCATTACTTAAATAAAATTAACATTTGATATTCATATACGGAGTACATTTTAGTGTAACTGAAATAACTATTATATCTATGATGTTATATTAATCATAAAAAAGGTTTCGTAGTACAAAGCACACGTTGATATTTTATAAGTATGAAATATTTTAATAAAAATACTATCTCTTCTCCATATGGATTGTCTAAATTTAATTACTTTTTAATGTGTATATGAATTAAATATTAAATAAATATTCTTATTTCATAAAAAATACTCATAAAATATAAAATATTATTAAATTATAAAATGAATGATTATTCTAATGCATGAATTAAAGAATTTTATTTTTTTAAGGAAAAAAAACCAAAATAACACTCTTAGGGCCTTGAAATATTCTAAATAGTAGTGCTATATGTTTCGTAGCTGCGATTCCAATTTTGTCCTTAATTAAACAGTAAATATTCATTACACACTGCCAAAAAATATAACTATTTTGGGCAATGTGGTTTTTTATATGTGAGTATTTGATGAGACTGTAGAATGGATATATGTTATTTGTTATATCTTATAGCAATGTGTAAATGTATTATTGTGTTCCTTAATTTCATGTTAGAGTGTAATGTCCATTATCTTATGTGTCAGTGATTTCATGTTTAAATTTTACACTGTCAAAAAGTGTATGGTTGTTTTCATGTATGAATTTATATAACCCAAAAAATGTATAGTTCTTTTTATGTATGAATTTCACACTGTTTTCATGTATGAATTCTATATTGCCAAAAATGTGTATGCCTATTTTCATGTATGAATTCCACACTGACTAAAAATGTATGACTAATTTCATGAATAATTTATTGCACCAATACACATTGGCCAAACATGGGCGTTAAATATGTAATTTAATTTAATACGTACAAACTTGTTTAGGTATTACACATTAGTAAACTCTGTAGGAGGAGGATCTCGTAGAGTCATGGTAAAGGCCGTAGGAAAATATTCTCTCATGTATGAGAGACGAATGAGGAGGAGCCACACATATGAGGAGAAGTGGATACGTGAATAATCTAAGTTTAATCAAATAATTAAAAATAATTAAAAATAGTATAATATAATAAAAGGTAGAGGGTATGCTTGGAAGATATTGACACTATGAATAACTAAATTCGTATAAAAGATTAATGAGTGATCTATGCGTAATATGAAGGAGTGCTACGTAGGGTGATTTTTTAATTAACATTTGATATTCATATACCGAGTATATTTTAGTGTAATTGAAATAACTATTATACCTATGTTGTTATATTAATCATAAAATGAATTTTGTAGTACAAAGTACACGTTGATATTTTATAAGAATGAGATATTTTGATAAAAATAAAATCTTTTCTTTATATTGATGATCTAAATTTAATTACTTTTTAATGTATATATGAATTAAATATTTATTCTAATGTATTTATATGAACTAGTTATTTAAATATAAACTCAATATTCTTATTTCATAAAAATAATCATAAAATAAAAAATATTATTACATTATAGTATGAATGATTATTCTAATATATGAATTAAGTAATTTTATTTCATTAAAAAATAATCATAAAATCAAATTATTGGATTGAATTTTAAATCAAATCATAATTAAAATCAAATCCAGTTCGGACCACAAATCAAATTAAATAAATAGAGATTAGACCAGTCGACCAGATCAGATTAGGCAGCCTCGTATAGTCATACTTGCTCCTGCGGCGGGACGCGCGGCAGCCATCTGTTCCAAAGTCCCTCCACCATCGTTGTTGTTATCATTCAGCTCCGAGCACAGGATCATCATATCTGGTATGTGAATTTAATTAAAATTTCTTGGTATCAATTGGATCTTATTCGCATGATTTGATTCCCAAATTCTCTATTCTACAATCAATTTTTTGTTTTCATATTTTTTTAAATGTTTACATAAAAGAATGCTACTTTGCTATCTCTCCTCTGATAAGAATACTCAGTTTGTTTGTTTTTTAAAAGAAAAGTTTCTTCTTTTCTTTTTTGTTATGTTTTCTACTGCCCAAAATCTACACAACTGTGAATGTGTGATTTATTGTTCATCTGAATTAGTATGAATTTGTGATTTTATTGATAGTTTGAACTCGCTAGAGGCAACATACTGCTTCAAAATTTGATCTTTTTGGTCCCATTCGGTTCAGTCTAACTTCATAGGAGATGATATAGCCTCTTGGAGTGTGTGTATGGAAGTGCCCCAAAAGAGTCTAATGTAGCTGAAGGAAAAGAATAGGGAATAACAGTATGCTGGGATTTTGAGATAGAATGCAACTGCAAAATTAATACTACTCAGGAACTAAGATGAAAAACTGTGTATTTGATCTGCTGAGTTTTTTTTTTTTTTTACAGAAACAATGAAATCAGATGGCCATATATATAGGTCACCTTACAACCAACAGAAGCTAGAAAATAGGCCTAATAACAAACCACTAACATATCCTGTGATAGACCATAAAAATAGGATCACTAACTAACAGGCCAGTAAGCAATACTCTTAACAGCCCTGAAGACTAGGACAATTATTCAAGAATAATTCAAACACTCTAACTTATAATTAAAAATCAGAATTAATAAATAATTAACCAAATTATTCAACATCCCCCCTTAATTCTGATAAGGGATGGTCTTCACTCCAAGCATGTCCCTCAACTTGGCAAATGCATCAAGCTTCAATGGCTTGGTAAAGATGTCTGCAATTTGATCTTCAGATCTGCAGTATTCCAGCTTGATTGTATTCTTCCCCACTTGGTTTCTTAGGAAGTGATAACGAATATCAATATGCTTGCTTCTTCCATGAAAAACTGGATTCTTAGCCAAATTAATTGCTGAAATATTATCAACCTTAATTGTAATTGGCCCTTCAATATCAAAACCAATTTGACTCATAATATTGCTAAGCCAAATTGCTTGACACGCACTTGATGCTGCTGCTACATACACAGCTTCACACGTGGACAATGCAACAATGGGCTGTTTCTTTGATGACCATGAGAAAACATTCTTTCCGAGCATAAAACAATGACCACTTGTGCTTTTCCTTTCGTCTAAATCTCCACCCCAATCGCTGTCTGAGTATCCAACAATCTCAATCTCCTTGGATGATGAGTAAAATAGACCAAAATCTATAGTACCTTTGATGTAGCGCATAATTCTCTTTACTGTTTGTAAATGGATATGTCGAGGTGACTCCATATATCGGCTAATCAATCCCACAACATAAGAGATATCAGGTCTAGTACATGTGAGGTACCTTAGGCTTCCAACAATCTGCTTGAAGTATGTTGGATCAAGTGTTCGCTCGTCACCGTCCCTGGTAAGTTTAAGTCCGACTTCAACTGGGGTCTTAACCGGGTTTGAATCTTCCATTTGAAACTTCTTCAAAAGTTCAGCAGCATACTTCTTTTGGTGAATGAAGATTCCTCCATCTCCCTGGATAACCTCAATGCCCAAAAAATAGGACATAAGACCAAGATCAGTCATCTCGAATTCCTTCATCATAATTGATATACCCCTGGTACCTACGAAAGTCCTTAAGCAAATTACCGGATTAATGACTAAATCCTACGATCCTTTTTGGAATGAATTTACCCCTCCTAAACCCAAACCCTTAGCCATAATTTCATTGGATTTTTCCTCACCCTAAAATAAACCCAAACAACCAGTTTTCTTTCTTTACTGCCCAGGCCGTACCCCCTTACCCCCACCCTTTCTCATCAAAAACACACCCCATTAAACTCACCAAAATGACCCACAAATATTTCATCCTTTTTCCCTTCAATTCTGGCCGAAACACAAGAGCCAAAACAACACATATCATCCCCATAATAAACCCCAACACATGGACCCCCTTTGTTCCCTACCCAAACAGCATACACACCCTCCATTTTAACCACCAAATAAGCCCTACAACTACACTCCAAAGCTAAGAATAAAACATCCCATTTGTTGAGATGTGTGGGACGTATAAACCCATCACAAACAACCATATCTCACCCCTCTTTACCCCATCCCTGGCCTGCCCCTTTCCACTTCACAACCACCATATTTCAACCACCATAACAAACCAAATTAGCCAATATATCTCACACCCCTTTGTCCCCTAATATGGCCGAATCACATCCCTCTCAAATCTCCATAAATANAAACACTACACTCCACTTTTATTTCATTCCATCAAGGCACATCATATTAAGTCATATTTTGGTGATTTGATTAAGGAACAAAGCTTGTAATTTCCCCCTTTCCCTTGTTATTTATTTCGGCCATAGGCCTCATTTGAAAACAGATTGTATTCCTTTTCATTTCCAAGTAATAAACCATTGTGTTTGTTATTTTAAATCCTAATTTCTATATCTTAAGGTTGGTTTCCTTAAGTGTGAGTGTTAGGTTCTAGATATTTGATTAAGTGTGTTATATCTTAATTAAATTCTAGGTTGAACCCCAAGTGAGGAGAAGAGTGTGTAATATCTCTTTAACACCAACTTGGTTTATCTATCCCAAAGAAATACTAAACTGTTTTTCCCCCTCTCTTCTCCCTTATTTTCGGCCTGCTCCCATCCACCACCCTAATATTACTTTTCTCTCCACTTTTCCACTTAAACAAAAGCCTAAAAATACTCCTTCCCCACTGCCAATTTCGTTCCTAGTCTTCCCTCCCTTAAAATCCTCCATTCCTTGCACAAAACCTCACCAATATAGCCTTATAACTTCCTCCCTTTACCCTACTGCCAATTGTGTCTTTCTACCTTGGAGTGGGTGCCTATCAATAATGTGCTTGAAATCACTGACCATCTTGTGATTATTTCCTGTGAAAATCACATCATCAACATAAAGACACAAGATTAGCAAGTCCCCATAATCATTGGCCTTCACATATAGGCCATGGTCTGATGGACATTTTTGAAATCCAGTGTCATGAAGAAACGAATCAATCCTTTTGTTCCAAGCTCTTGGTGCTTGCTTAAGGCCATATAATGCCTTATTAAGTCTGTACACTTTCTCCTCCTTTTCAGGTTGTATGAAACCCGGTGGCTGCTTTACATAAACCTCTTCATCAAGTGGGCCATTAAGAAATGCCGACTTGACATCCATCTGGTGAATTTTCCATTGCTTTTGTGCAGCCAAAGCAATTATCAATCTCACAGTTTCCATTCGAGCCACTGGAGAATATATTTCTTCATAATCATATCCTTCTCTTTGCTCAAATCCATTCGCCACTAACCTTGCTTTGTATTTGTCAACCTCACCATTTGCCTTCACCTTGATCTTGTAGACCCATTTAACATCAATGGCTTTGTGTCCTTTTGGAAGGCTGCCATGTGTTGTTTTTCTCAATCGCCATCAATTCTTCATTCATAGCCTCTTGCCATTTTGGATTTTGAATGGCATCATCGAGTCCCACAGGTTCCGAATCTGCAAGGAAAGCAAAGTGGACTAATTCTCCATCATCATCGATCTCATTGTCGAGATTTACCTCACAATCTTGAAGACGTGCAGGTTGTCGGTGTTCCCTTCTTGGTCTTTCCGTAGTAGTTGCAGAAGGGGCTAGAACATTGGGTTGGACTGCTGGTGTTTCAAGATTAACTCCATCTTCTGCATCGTCATTCATAACGTGAACATAACACGTTTTGGAATCCATGTCGCCTGATATATTCCATTCCCATGCCTCATCTTCTGCGAATGTAACATCACGGCTGACTATCACCTTCTTTGTCATTGGATTGTACAGTTTGTACCCCCCTTGCTTATATCCAATGAAAATGGTCTTAACAGCCCTGTCATCCAACTTCGTTCTTGTTGCAACTGGAACGTGAGCGTAAGATACTGATCCAAATACCTTCAGGTGTTGCACATTGGGTTTGAATCCTCTCCATGCCTCAACAGGAGTAGTGTTAGGAACACTCCTGGTGGGTGATCTGTTCAATATATATACTGCACATGATACAGCTTCAGCCCAAAAATAATTTGGCATACCTTTTGCTTTTAGCATACTCCTTGCCATATCAAGAATTGTTCTGTTCTTTCTCTCTGCCACTCCGTTGTGTTGAGGAGTGTAAGGAAAAGTAATATTATGCTGCAACCCGAGTTCTTCGCAGTGACTCTTGAAATCATTGGATTTGTACTCACCTCCTCCATCACTATGTATCATCTTGATTAATTTGCCACTTTGTCTTTCAACAAATGCTTTAAATATTTTAAAGCACTGGAACACCTCATCTTTGCCCTTCAAGAGATAAATCCAAGTTTTTCTTGAGAAATCATCAATAAAGGTTAGAAAGTATCTGTTACCTCCAATTGATGGTATGTTCATCGGGCCACAAACATCTGTGTGAACTAGCTCCAAAGGTAGTTTTGCACGCCACGGCTCCTTAACAAAAGGTAATCTGTGATTCTTTCCAAGAATGCAAGCCTCACATAATTGATCAGGATGATGAATATAGGGTAAACCATTCACTAAATTGATATATTTAAGCTTGGGTTTGGAAAGGGAGGGGAGTGGACTGGTCGAGTATATGGAGGAGGATGAAGGGTTGATTTTTAAGATGGTTTAAAGGCATAGGAATAGGGGAGAAAAAGGGGGATACTGGTTGTGCTTTTTAGGAGGGCCGAAAATTTGGAAGGGAAAATAAGAGGGGAAAAGGGATAAAAACCAAGTAGGTTTTAAGAGATATAACACACTCTTATCCTCACTTGGGGTTTGAGTCTAGAATTTAATTAAGATATTACACACTCAATTAAATAACTAGAACCTAACACTCACACTTAAGGAAACCAACCTTAAGATATAGAAATTAGGATTTGAAAACAGAATACAACCAGTGTATTTCTATCTTGAAATGAAGAATAAAAATCTGAGCATTACAATAGGCCTATGGCCGAAATTTAAAGGCACTCATACAAAGGAAAATACTAAGCTATTTCTTCCACAAATCCTAGAAAATGCAGTCATGTGCTTGAGTCCTTTCATGGAATAAAATCAGGGAAAATGGGGACAGGGATTCATGAATGAATATTCATGAATGGAAGGGGATTTTCGGCCATATTAGAGGGCAAAATGGATGGGTGATGTGTTGGGTATTTTGGCTTGGCTAGTGAG